ATTTAATCAGTTTTTTTTCCATGTAAAATATTTTGTGCACTTTCACTGAATAAAGTAGTATTTATTTATAGGTTCTGGGGGTTAGGATGTTGATGTAACTTCTTAGGGGCTGCTATTCACCCACTACATGTGACTGCAGTTACTTTCCTATATGGGCCCATGGCAGACATTGATAACTCTTCACTCAGCTCTAAGTAAGCCCAGATTTCTGTTCAGGACAGCATTCTGGGCAACCACCTTCAATTGACTTTGAAGATAAAGCCAGTTTCATAGACATAGCTTGGTATATCAGGCATCTTTCATCTTTTAACCATTCCATTTGGTGTCTGCTATTCTTTGAAAACTGACAGCTAAGGCCAAGTTTGTGTATAGGTGGATAAGAGGAATTGAAGAACTTTACTTCTCTTGGATATTGGTGGGAAGATAAAAGTGGTGCTGTGATTTAATCATCACTGAGGAAAAAATATTTTTGCATGTGTGCTAAAAATCTGCTTTCCTCAACTTACTATTTTATTCCTTTTAGTATTTTTTGTTCTACTTTATACCATTGGTTGAACTCTTTAACACACAATTATTCTTAGGCATTTAAATTTAACTGAAAAGTAATCCCTGTTAAATATAAGAATGGGAATAAGAGAGGGAGGAGAGGTATAAATTTCAGTCATAATTGATCATAATGACAGGATTGTCAAAGGGATCACGTAAGCAAGACTAGTGTCTGTTAATACTAACTGATAGAATTAAAAAGGAGAGAATGATCCAACATGGGAAGCAGGATACACAGCAGACTCATAAAATGGCAGATTTCCTAAACAGCACTCTGGCCTCAGAATCAGCCCTTAAGGCATTTAGATCTGGCTAAAAAGCCCATGAGAGTGTTTTGGGCATGGAAATCCAAGACACTCTGGCAAAAACAAAACAAAACAAAACAAAACAAAACCTAAATGAAATATCTCTGTGAGAGAGATCCCAGCGGAAAGAACAGGCCATCAAAGAAGAAGGTACCTTTCTCTGAAGGGAGGAGAGAACTTCCACTTTGATTATGTCCTTGTCTAAATAAGATCGGAGTTGATGAACTCAAGAGTCTTCCATAGCCTTTGCAACTCTTGACAAGAGCCTCGTGTGATTACTGATGCCGTAAATAAGAGTGTCAATTGTTAAATCCACAACAGGAGTCACTGCCCACTTACTCCCCATGTAGGATCTCTGTCCTTCATGTGTTGTAGTATGAAAATTAATGGTAAAACTACTACTAAAACAGTACTCTATACTTTGTGTGTCTGTGTGGTTGCAAACTGTTGAAATCTTTACTTAGTAAATACTAAGTAGATCTTCTGTATATAAAGATAATTGAAAATGAATCTTGATATGAATGGGATGGGAGAGGGAGTGGGAGGTGGGATGGTTGCGGGTGGGAGGGAGGTTATGGGGGAAAAAAGCTGCTATAATCCAAAAGTTGTACTTTTGAAATCTATATTTATTAAATAAAAGTTAAAAAAATCTGCTTTCCTGAATTTGCTTAAAGAATAATGCTGCTTTCTCTAGCATATTACCTGTTCATAGTCACTCTACTTATAATGTAGATAATTTTCATAAAAATAGAATCAAAAAATATGAGATCATCGTCCAGAAATTTAAAGAAATAATTTTTCCTGGGCCTTGTCTGCATACTTTAAGTTTTTTTTGACTCGTCATTCATTTATGTAATATTGATTTTAGTTTCCTGTTTCTAGGTTTAAAATTTCTCATAGACAATATTTTGATATTAAGTAAATTTTTGGGGTTTTGGACTGTGATAATTAGGAATTTAGAGATTTGATTAAAATCTGGACCCTGTCACTGGAAATTGCATTGCAATGGGCAAGGGGAAATTATAGTACCTACTCCATCAGTTGTGTTGAGAGCCATAAATGACATAAAGAGCCCCTTTAATACAGTTTGCTTCAAAAAGTGAACATTCTCTACATGTTTTAGAGATATAGATGAAAGATAAAAAATTCATTTAACTTAATATAGTTGAAATTTTGAAAACACAAATATTTACATTTCAGTTCAGTGATTGAAAGCTCATACAACAGTATCTCAATTTGTGGAAAACGAAATTCTTATTTTGGTGCAAAAAATCAAAATCGATGCATATGAGGTTCATGAAAAATGTTCATAATGAAAAAAGTATTCATGATATTCAAAACTATTTTGCATCAAAAACCTTATCTTTTAATTCCGTTTCTCACTAACCGTTTGATGTATGCTCGTATTGGGTAAAGCTTGATCATCAGCCCAGTGCTTTTTAAGCACTGACATCTAGGGTAGCTATGCCCTATCATTAAATATTGGCATCACTGGGGATGAATAGTTCTGAGGACACTTGTATTCCATAAGATATTTTTAGAAATAGAAGTGGTAGGAAACACATTGTGTTAAAACGACATTATTTCAATAGGAATTTCACTGCCAAAAAAGCAATTCTGTTCTGTAAGTGGTTGCTACATTGATTTTTGCTGAAGCATTATTATTTACATGTTGATTGTCTTAGAACCAGGATACTTACATATTTAAAGTGGTTGGCCGGCGTCGCGGCTCACTAGGCTAATCCTCCGCCTTGCGGCGCCGGCACATGGCACACTGGGTTCTAGTCCCGGTTGGGGCGCCGGATTCTGTCCCGGTTGCCCCTCTTCCAGGCCAGCGCTCTGCTGTGGCCAGGAGGTGCAGTGGAGGATGTCCCAAGTGCTTGGGCCCTGCACCCCATGGGAGACCAGGAGAAGTACCTGGCTCCTGCCATTGGATCAGCGCGGTGCGCCGGTGCAGCACGCTGGCCATGGCAGCCATTGGAGGGTGAACCAACGGCAAAAGGAAGACCTTTCTCTCTGTCTCTCTCTCTCTCACTGTCTACTCTGCCTATCAAATAAATAAATAAAGTGGTGAGGAAAAGGTTTCTATATTATGTACAGATTTCTGTACTTTAAAAATACAATATTTTAACATAATTCCTTTACTTCTGATTTCTGGTTCCTCATCCCTAAGTTTTACATTGTATTGTATTATTTTTATTGTTATTTTCATATCTACTTTCTGCATGGCTTATGTATTGTCAGAAAGGAAGCTCACAGAAAGAACAATGTTGCATAACTACCTTATTAAACCTCTGCATAATATTGTTTGAACCCTGTGGGGGCACTGATGGAGACCAACTACTAATGTTAAGCACATTGATGTGCTCCTCAAATAGGAAATAAAAAGTGATTGTGGCTGAGAGAAAGTGCAAAGTGGTGTTTAAGAAAGACCACACACTTTTTTTTTTTTTAAGATTTATTTATTTATTTGAAAGTCAGAGTTAAAGAGAGAGAGAGAGAGAGAGAGAGAGAGATCTTCCATCTACTGGATCACTCCCCAGTTGGCCACAACGGCTCAGAATTCTGCTGATCCAAAGCCAAGGAGCCAGGAGCTTGTTCTGGGTCTCCCATGTGGGTGTAGGGGTCCAAGGACTTGGGCCATCTTCTACTGCTTTCCCAGGCCATAGCAGAGAGCTGGATGGGAAGTGGAGCAGCCAGGTCTTGAACTGGTGCCCATATGGGATGCTGGCACTGCAGGTGGTAGCTTTACCTGCTAAGCCACAGAGCCGGCCCCAACCATGCACTTTGAAGGCCTGTATTAGCGGTTTCTCATTATTACAGCAATGAAATATCTAAGGCCACTAACTTTATACAAGTTTATTTAGTTTATTGTTTGGAGGTTCAAGGCTAAGGCTGGGCAATCCCATTGGCATGGTCTCTGATGAGGCTGGAGGTTGGCAGTGGTGGAGCCTGAGTAGAGGAAGGAGCACACTATGAGCAGGATGGAGAACAAGCAGCTGGTTCCAACTCAGCTTCTATATCCAAGCTTCTCCTGGAGATCACCTTCCAAGGGCACATCCCCACTGACCTAAGGACGTCACACAAAAACAGTACATAGGATTAAATTTCCACCCTCCTAGTACTTTAATGTATATCTTAGGGGTTTAAATATATTCACTTGTTTGAAGGCCAAATCCTATTCTAACTGTAGCAAGGCCATAGAACTGTTTTTTTTTTTTTTTTTAAGATTTATTTATTTACTTGAAAGGCAGAGTTACAGAGAGGCAGAGACAGAGAGAGAAAGAAATAGAGAAAGAGAGAGAGAGAGAAGCACATTCCAAATATCTTACCTATTTTGAAGAGAATTTGAGGTAGCATGCAGAAGCTGATGCTAAAAAGCAAATAGTGTAGGAGTCTAGACTAGCAATAAAGAGTTTTTTTCTGGAGTCAGACAAGTGTGGATCTTTGATTCCTGCATGTGACAATTCTGACAGAGATAGGAAATACTTCTGACCCAAAACTAAAAGGTAGATGCATGTGCTGAAGTGTGCATGTGTGAACTTAAATTTTTGGAACAGGAAAGGAAGATTTGGATTGCATTTTTATTCTGAGATTAGGGGCTAGTGGTGTCCTTACTTCCCACTAGGTCTTGACCTCCTTGTTGACTTCACTGGAGATAGCCTCTTTTTGAGAGTTAATGGAACTGTGATTATATCAAAGTGTTGAGGTGCACCAAGGGGGAAGGAGCCATACTACAATTATAATAACTTAATTCTTAGGACACGTGAAAGTGTATCAGTAATATATCCCCCGGGGAAATGGTAAACATAACAAAATCAGGCTGGGGATGAAACCCTTAAAAGCAGGCATATATAATAAAAGTAAAAGGATTATACTGATTATCAATGAAACAAAATATTCGCATTTGTCAATGAAGCTAAAGGTTCATACATACTTAGCATAAGTCTGTGCAATTTCCATCTGAAATGTAGTGTATTCTTAAATGGCTGCTACTTTAATCCATTTAGGTGCATCCTGAGCTTTACAGATGAGGAGTCCACACCTGAGGGAACTCTTCCTGAAGCCACAGATTTGGGTTGGTAGAGTGCAAGAATAGGTTACTCCAAGTACTAACCATCTGTTTATGCATTTTAATTTTACTTTCAGGATCTGCTAAAATTTTATCTGCTATGTAGCAGTTTTCCTGGATTATGCCGTGTTGCTCTGGCCGATTTGTTCACTCAGACACTATGAGTATTCCACATTCCTTTGAGAGTGACTCCATGACCTGCAGAAGCACTAAAGGTAAAAAAAAAAAAAAATCCCTCACTCATCTGAGCGTCCTTTACAACTAACTTCAAAATGCAGCAACCTAAGGGTTGGGAAGAAGTTAGACAAAGGCCAACTTTTGTCTCCCCCCCCCTCTTTTTTTTGCTGTTTTGTGCTAGATATCCACTTGGTGGCAACATAAATTCCTCTATGAGGAGCATTATGATGTTGGATCGTTAGAATCTGGGTGTTATAAAGCACTTGTGGTGGTGCTTGCTGCAGTGGGGGCTTTCTGATTTTGGCTCCCTGATGCGCATTGCCCTTTACTACTGAGTGTATTTTAAAACTTTTAAAAAGAGATGTTTTATATTCACAGCAAAATTGAAAGGAAGTTACAGATTTCCTGAATACTGTCTGCTTCAGACATACGTAGCTTCCTTCCTACTGGGTATTCTTGATTTTAACTGTAGAAATGGCAGCTTTGCAAGCTGTTACTTTAGCGATCAGTTATTTAGTGTTCTAATAGTTATTTTTGGAAGCATAAGCTGGAATTAATTTTCCAGTATTTTTAATGATTTTAGAACGATTAATTTCTTGTAAATTCTATCCTGAATACAATACCTAGAGGGATCTGTTACTTACATTGAAACTTGACTGACACAGAACAGCTTCCTTCATGGGTGGAATATAATCCAATGCCCATTTCATGAAGCATCTTGGAGTATTCTCTGCTGTCGTCCTATGGTGAGATCCTTTGTCTCTAACTGGATCTGACTCCAATTCTAGGCCATGTTTATTTCAGAACCCTGGGAGCTTTCACTGAGATTCTACCAATGGGTCTCATCACTGGCAACAGAGTGTCTCCTGGTGCGGGCTGCTGACATGTCAGCAGTCTTTAATGTCTCTGGGTTGTTAGAGATAAGTGCGAGAGAAGCTTGTACAGCAGTCTACATCATCTCTTGCTCTGGGCCCTCCTCCAAGCTAGCATTAGTCTGGATTGCTTCTTAATTTTTGAGCAGTAAATCTACTGAGGTATATTTTGTCTTCAAAATTCAGGGGCTGAAGGTGCTATGTCATTTTGCTAGTGACACTGACTTCTTTACAGGGATGTCGTATGTGACACTCTAGAGCCTGAATGTCTGGAAACAAAGGTTGTATCTGGTTTTTTTTTTATTTTTATTTATTTTTTTATTTTTTTGACAGGCAGAGTGGACAGTGAGAGAGAGAGAGACAGAGAGAAAGGTCTTCCTTTGCCGTTGGTTCACCCTCCAATGGCCGCCGTGGCCGGCACGCTGCGGCCTGCGCACCGCGCTGATCCGATGGCAGGAGCCAGGTACTTATTCTGGTCTCCCATGGGGTGCAGGGCCCAAGTACTTGGGCCATCCTCCACTGCACTCCCTGGCCACAGCAGAGAGCTGGCCTGGAAGAGGGGCAACTGGGACAGAATCCGGTGCCCCGACCGGGACTAGAACCTGGTGTGCTGGCACCGCAGACGGAGGATTAGCCTAGTGAGCCACGGCACCGGCCGTATCTGTTTATTAGTGACATAAAATGGATATTGTAACATATCTAGAAACTATGCTATGCATTTTAATAGGACACTTCTTTATTCTCTGAAATGCATACATAATAGCTAAGATGCCTAGGGGAGTTGATACTTCAGGTTTACCAGGTCCTTTCTGCACTGTGACAACAATATAATGGACTATTCTTGTATCTTATGTATTGATGGGAGTTGTATTTGTTTTCCTCACAAATGAAAGTGAACTATTTTTGGTATTCTTTTGATTATTGGGAAAAGGAAAAGGCATGTTTTGGAATATGAGCATATTCCAGATGCTAGAAATGTATTTTGATATCCATAAACTCCCATTTTGACCAAAGGGCCAGAAGTTATTGATTCCTTTTCCTAGTCTAAACTTGCCAGTTTCCTTAGTGTTTATCCAACTTGTCTGGGTATAATTTATTTCTGACAAGATTTAGTCACCATCACTCAAAAAAGCAATCAATCTTTTTTTGTGAGATCACTGGTTAGTCCAAAGTGCTCCCCAGGAAACAATGATCAGACAGTATTTATAGACAAAAATACAAGGGACATTTAAAATTAGAGCACAAAATAGAGCCTATTGCTTGCTGTCTGTCTGTCTGTCTATCTATCTATCATCAAAGCTTTACTTGTTGCTAAGGGCTGAAGTTGAAAGAACTAGAATACTGGAAGTAAGGGCAGGAATCTGAGTGTACCTATGCTGGAACACAGTGGAGTCTGATAATCTCTCACAGAATATGGAGAAGCAAAGCAACATATGGTATGTACGATAAAGTCTGAATTGTGATTCGTTATTTCAGACTAGAAAGAAGCAAAGTGATACAGAAGTAAGTAGAATAAACTCTGGAGGTTGCACAGTTATCTCGGGTGGACTTGTGAAGTGTAAAGGAACATGGAGACAATGCAGCACACATTGATGTTCAACTACCTAGAGTGAACTTGGAATTTACAGAAAAACAAAGATGTAAGCGATATAATTCTGGGGTCTTAAGATGCAGGATGGCCTTAAAACAAGCAAAGAAAAGTAGTCATAAGCAAGGTAAACATTGGAGTCTGATCACCTAAAATGAAATTGAGATAGAAAAAGAACAAAGGAATAAGTGGGACAATTCTGAAGGTTGAAGTTCTAAAGTATTCAAAACAAGCAAAGAAACAAGTGTGATAAGCAATGGAGTATGATAAGCTACATGAACAAGAAGCTTACAAAAGAACATAGAATTAAGTCAAAATATTCTGGAGTTCAAAAATCATGACTGAACTTAAGCAAAGGAACATAGTGGTAAGTGTAATTGACTCTGGAGTCTTACAGTCTATTATCAGTTTGGGAGAAGGAAAGCAATGTAGAGGTAAATGGGATCAAGTATGGAACTGATGATCTTTCACAGTCTAGGGGGAAGAAAAGGGATATAGAGTTTAAGTAAAATAAACTCTGGACTCCAGTTGTCTGGCATGGGTATTTGAGAAACAAACACAAAGGTAAGTGGAATAAACTCTGGAGTCCACTTACCTGAAATGAACTGGATTTACAAAGTACATAGAGATAAGTATGATAATTCTGGAGTCTGAGCTTCTACTATGGATTTAAAATAAGTAGAGGAATGTGTTGGAAAGTGAGTTCGACCCTGAATCTGATAGTCTATAATCAAATTGAGAGAAGCAAAGCACCAAAGAAGCTTGTGTGATAAATTCTGGAGGCTGTACTTATCTTGAGAAGCCGTGGAATTTAGAGGTAAGTTTAAAATGCTGTGGAGTCAAAATATGTAGGTTGGGCCTGTGAGTAGCAAAGGACAAACTAGAATCTGATGAACTAGAATGGACTTGAGATTTACAAAAGAACATATATGTATATATGATTATTCTGAAATATAAAGTTCTAGAATGGATTTAGGCACATGGACATAGAGTATGTGCAATTGACTTGGGAGTCCAATAATCTATCATTGAATTGGGGGAAACAAAGCAATGTAGAGGTATGTGTGATAAAATCCCCATGTCAATGATCCTCCTTAGGCTAGGAAGAAGGGGATGTAGAGATAAGGGGAACAAACTCTGGAGTTGAAGTATGTTAGCATAAACTTGCAAGAAGGAAAGGAACATAGAGATGATGGAATACACACTGAAGTTCAATAACCTAGAGTCAACGTGGGATTTAAAGAAGGATAGAAATGTAGTGAGATAATTCTGGAGACTGAAGATCCTTCATGTGCTAAATCAACTGCTCGTATCCTTATTAAATAAATTAATAATAAATCTTCATTAGGTCCATTTTCTTAATAGTATGGTTCAACTGTAATTTATCTTTGTAGATTTTCTGTCTGGATGACCTGTCCATTGATAACAATGGAGTGTTGAAGTCCCTGACTATAATTGTACTAGAGTCTCTCTCTCTTTTTAAATGTAATAATATTTGCTGAATATATCTTGGTGGTCTTGTATTGGGTGCAAATATATTTGGGATTGTATGTCTTCTTGCTGAATTGATCCTTTTATCAAAATATAATGTCCTTTGTCTTTTTTTTTTTACAATTTTTGATTTAAAATCTTTTATATGAGTATAGCTATTCTTATTTATTTTTGGTTTCCATTTTCCTGGTATATATTTTCAGCCCTTCAACTTTAGTGTATGTGTATCTTTATTTGTGCAGTGAATTTCTTGTAAGCAGTGTATAGTTGGGTATTTTTTTTAAATCAATGATTCTTTCAATGTAAGCTTTTGACTGGTGAATTTAATCCATTTACATTTTATTAAGGCAACATAGAAGTAAATGGGATCAGCTATGGATTCTGATGATACAGTATGGACTAGGGAGAAGCAAATGGATATATAGATAAAGGAAATGCACTTCAACCTCTGATTATCTATTATGGATATTTGAGAAACAAAGAAACACGGAGGTAACTGGAGTAAACTCCAAAATTGGAATCTGATTATCTGAAACTATCTTGAGATTTACAAAAAACATAAGGATAAATGGGATAATTCTGGATTCTGATGTTCTATGGAGTTAAAGCAACCAAAGGAACATAGTGGGTTCATCCCTTGAGTCTGGTAACCCCTCATCAAATTGGGAAAATCAAAGCTCCATAGAATGATTTGTGAAAAACTGAATACTGAATATTTATCTTGGACTAAGGAAAGCAAATAAATGTAGAGGTAAGTTTAACATAAACTCAAGTCAAAATATATAGCATGGTATTATGAGAAGTGAAGGAACACAGAGATGAGTGGGACAAATGCGAGAGTCCAGAGAGCATGGGATTTACAAAATAATATATATGTAATTGTGAAAATTCTGGACTTTGAAGTTCTATCTGGACTGAAAAAAGCACAATAATATGGAGGTAAGTGGAATTGACTCTGACATCCAATAATCTATCATCAAATAGAGAAAAGCAAAGCAGCATTAATTAAGTGTTAGAAACTCTGGATTCCAATTATGTATCTTGGACTGTCAAGAAGCAAGGTGCTACAGAGGTAAGTGGAATTAACTACGGAGTGCAATGATCTAGCATTAACTTGTGAGAAGCAACGTAACATAGAGACAATGCAATACACACATATTTGATTACTTAGAATGAATTTGGGATTTACAGAAAAATAAAAATGTAAGTCACTCAATTCTGAAGTCCAAAGATCAAACATGGCATTAAATCAATGAAAGAAAAAGCATTCATGAGTGGGATAAGCACTGGAATCCAGTCACCTTGAATGAAATTTGAATTTACAAAAGAATATAGAAATACGCACAATCATTCTGGAATCCAAAGATCTACATAGGTCTTAAAACAAGAATACAGTGTTAAGTGAGATTGATTCTGGAAACCTATAATCTATCATTAATGTGAGAGAAGCAAAGCAACATAGAGGTAAATGGGATTAACTGTGGATTCCAATGATGTAGCATAGAACAGGGGCAAGCAAAATAATATAGAAGTAAGTAGAATAAATTGGACTTTGATCACCCATCATGGACTTTTGAGAAACAAAGCAATAAATCCCACCATATAAGTAGGATGAACTCTGGAGTCCTATTACCTAAAAGAAACATGAGATTTACAAGAGAATATAAGGGTAAGTAGACAATTCTGAATTACACATTTTACTAAAGAATTGAAACAAGAAAAAGAACATAGAGGAAATTTGGATTGACCCCAATAGTAATCTATAAGCATACTTGAAGAGACAAAACAATATAGAAAGATTCATGATAAACTCTGGATGCCAGTGATCTTTTTTGGACTGTGGAGAAGCAAGGGTATTTGGAGGTAATTTTAATAAACCCTGAATCAAAATATTTAACATGGACTTGTGAGAAGGAAAGGAACAGAGATAGTGGGACAAACTCTGGAATCCAATTTTCTAGAATGAACTTGGAATTTACAAAAAGCATATACACATGTGAGAATTCTGGAGTATGAAATTATAGCTTGGACTTAAAACAAGCACAGGGACATAGAGATAATTGGATTTGACTCCAGAGTCCAATAATCTATCACTGAATTGGGGAAACAAAGCAACATGGAGGTATGTGTGGTAAAATCGGGATGCTGATGATCTTTCTTGGACTAGGGAGAAGCAAGAGGTTATATTGGTAACTGCAATAAATTATGGAGTATTACTATCTAGAATAAACTTGTGAAAAATAAAGGAACATAGAGACATTGGAAAACACAGTATAGTTTGATTACCTAGAATGAAGATGGGGTTTACAGAAGAACCAGAATATAAGTGGGACAAATCTGGAGTTTAATGATCAAGCCTAGCCATCAATCAATCATAGTAAAAAATAATCATTAGTGAGTTAAACAAGGGAATATGATCACCTAGGATTAATAAAATAACATAAAATAAGTTAGAATAATTCTGGAGGCTGAGATAGATCTACCTATTAAGTGATATCCTGCATTCCAGCTAAACCATAAACTTTTTTCCAATAAAATCTATTCCATAAAAAAGAAGGGACCATTACATTGGTGTTCAGACACAGGAGACATGAAGAAGCAAGGTAACTTGATTCCTGCAAAAGAACACAATCCTCCAGAATTAGATCCTGAACTGAAGTAAATCTATGAAGTGACAGAATTTGAAATAATGAGTGTAAGGAAACTCAATTATCAAACAAAAAAATGAATATTCCTTGCTCATGGATTTAAAGAATCAATATCATTAAAACGTCTGTAGAACATAAAGCAATATACAGGTTCAAAGCAATCCCTATCAAAATACCAATGATATTCTTTATAGAATTAGAAAAAAAATGTTAAAATTCATACTGAATCAGAAAAGATCCAGAATAGCCAAGGTAATCCTGAACAAGAAAAACCTGAGGCATCACAATACCTGACTTCAAAGCATAATTGAAAGCTATTGTAAGGGTTGGAGTGTGGATGGGAGAGAGGGTAGTATGGGATGTATCACTATGTTCCTAAATCTGTATATATGAAATACTCAAGCCTTCTGTAGCTTAAATAAAATAAAATAAAAAAATAAAAAACAGTGTGATGCTGACAAAAAACTGAGACATAAATCAATGGAACAGAATAGACAGCCCAGAAATTAATCAATATACATTCAGCCCAATGATTTTTGACAAAAGTGCAAAGACAATACAGCAGAGTAAGGACAATCTCTTAAATAAATGGTGCTGGAAAAACTGGATATATATATATATATATACACACACACACACATACATATACATATACATATACATATATATGGAGAAGAATGAAATTGGATCCATACTTTTTTAAAGTTTTTATTTAATGAATGCATTTTTTTCATAGATACAACTTTAGGGATATAGTGGTTCTTTCCCCCATACCCACCCTCCCCCACCAACTCCCATCTCACCTCCCTCTCCCTCTCCTATCTCCTTCTTCATTATGGTTCATTTTTAATTTGATTTTATATACAGAGGACCAACTCCATGTTGAGCATAGATTTCAACAGTTTGCACTCAACGCACACACAAAACATATAGAGTACAGTTTGGGAACAAAATTTGCAGTTGATTCTCATAGTACAACTCATTAGGGACGGAGGTCCTACATGGGGACTAAGTGCACAGTGACTTCTGCTGTTCCTTTAACAATTAACAGTCTTATTTATGATGTCAGTGATCACCCAAGGCTCTTGCCCTGGGCTGCCAAGTCTATGGAAGCCTTTTGTGACCATAGACTCCATTGGCATTTGGACCCAGCCATAAAAGTGGATGTTTGCTCCTCCTTTCAGAGAAGAGTATATCCTTCTTTGATGACACTTTCTTTCCACTGAAGTCTCACAGAGATTCTCTGTGTAGGATACTTTTTTTGCATAGACTCTTGAGTTTCCTTGCCTGAAATGCTCTCACAGTCATTTCAGCTAGACCAGGAAGCCTTAAGGGTTGATTCTGAGGTCAGAGTATTATTTATAGCAAATGTCATTTTAGGAGTCTGCTGTGTGGACTGCTTCCCATATGGGAGTTTCCTTCTTTTTTTTTTTTAAATATTTATTTATTTATTTGAAAGTCAGAGTTACACAGAGAGAAGGAGAAGCAGAGAGAGAGAGAGAGAGAGAGAGGTCTTCCATCTGTTGCTTCACTCCCCATTTGGCCACAGCAGCTGGAGATGTGCCAATCTGAAGCCAGTAGCCAGGAACCTCTTCTGGGTCTCCCATGCGGGTGCAGGGGCCCAAAGACTGGGCCATCTTCTACAGCTTTTCCAGGCCATAGCAGAGCGCTGGATCAGAAGTGGAGCAGCTGGGACTTGAACCAGTGCCCATATGGGATGCTGGCACTGCAGGCAGCAGCTTTACCCACTACACCACAGCAGTGGTCCTTTTCCTTCCTTTTTAATTCTATTATTCTACCAGACACTTGATGTTATTTATATGATCACTTTTATACTTGAAGCTATCTATATGTTGTCTTGAACTTTTAATATGATTATTTTAACAGTTAAGATGGCATTTATACCACTGAATTTTATGGGTTTGGAGTCCCAGGACAGGATTTTAGGCTGTATTCTTAGAAGTAAGTCTATAGGAATGTATGCAGAACTATACTGCTTTACAGTTATAGACTACCTCCTCCCTCTCTTATTCCCCCTCTTATTTTTGACTGGAATCTTTTCCCAATTGACTTCAAATACATAAAATACATATGATTAACTATGTTACATAAAGAGTTCAGTGTATAGTATGAAGAAGAGAAAAGAAAAAGAAAACAGAAAAGAACAAAACAAAATAAAACAAAAAGATATACAAAATAAAACATAGCAATGATAAACTGTTCCTCAATAGTCAGGTCAAGGACTATTCAAGTCATTGATTCTAAAAGTGTCTATTGCACTTGTATAACTTTCTTTTCTTTCTTTCTTTTTTTTTTTTTTTTTTTTTTGACAGGCAGAGTGGACAGTGAGAGAGAGAGCGAGACAGAGAGGAAGGTCTTCCTTTTCCGTTGGTTCACCCACAATGGCTGCTGTGGCCAGTGCGCTGCGGCTGGCACACCATGCTGATCTGAAGGCAGGAGCCAGGTGCTTCTCCTGGTCTCCCATGTGGGTGTAGAGCCCAAGGTCTTGGGCCATCCTCCACTGCACTTCTGGGCCAGAGCAGAGAGCTGGACAGGAACAGGAGCCACTAGGACAGAATCCAGTGCCCCAACTAGGACTAGAACCCGGTGTGCTGGTGCCGCAGGCATAGGATTAGCCTGTTGAGCTGTGGCGCCGGCCTACACTTCTATAATTTTCATTTTAGGAGTGCTATTAATTCTCCCAAATCCGGGAGAACATATGGTATTTGTCTCTTTGGGACTGGGTTATTTCACTAAGTATCGGGTTTTCCAGTTTGCTCCATTTTGTTGCAAATGACTGGATTTCATTTTTTTTTATTGCCGTGTAGGATTCCATAGTGTACACATTCCACAATTTCTTAATCCATTCTTTGGTTGATGGGCATTTAGGTTGCTTCCATATCTTAGCTATTGTGAATTGAGCTGCAATAAACATAGAGGTGCAGATAGCTCTTTTGTTTACTGATTTCATTTCCCTTGGGTAAATTCCCAGGAGTAGGATGGCTGGGTCATATGGTAGGTCTATATTCAGATTTTTTAAGGTATCTCCATACTGTTTTTCATAGTGGCTTTACCACTTCACACTTCCACCAACAGTGGTTAGGGTGTCCTTTTCACAACATCCTCTCCAGCATTTGTTGTTTGTTGACTTCTGTATGAGGGCCACTCTAACTCATTGTGGTTTTGATTTGCATTTCCCTGATTGCTAGTGATCCTGAACATTTTTTCATGTGTCTGTTGGCCATTTGGATTTCCTCTTTTGAAAAATGCCTGTTAAAGTCCTCGGCCCAACTCTTAACTGGGTTGTTTTGTTACTGTGGAGTCTCTTGATCTCTTTGTAGATTCTGGTTATTAATCCTTTATCAGTTGTGTAGTTTGCAAATAATTTTTCCTATTCTGTCGGTTACCTCTTCACTCTGCTGTTTCTTTTGCTGTACAGAGACTTCTCGATTCGAGGTAATTCCATTTGTTCATTTTGGCTTTCACTACCTGTGCCTTTGGTGTCTTTTCCAGGAATTTTTTGCCTGTACCAGTGTCTTAAAGGGTTTCCCCAATGTTCTTGATTAATTTGATGGTGTTGTGGCATAGATTTAGATCTTTAATCCATGTTGAATGGTAGATCCATACTTTTCACCATCTACAAAAACCAACTCAATAAAGATCAATGACCTAAATTTAAGACCTGAGTCTATGAAGTTGCTAGAATAAAACATAGGGGAAATACTCCAAGACAGTGGTGTAGGCAATGACTTCTTAGACAAGATTCCCAAAGAACAAGTATCAAAAGTAAAACTAAATAAATGTAACTATATGTAGAAGCTAAAATTTTAAAAAGAAAGATGTCTGTTTACAGAGGAACACAAATGTAGGTATGATTATTTTGGAGTCTGAGATATAGAATGGCCTTAAATCAAGCAAATAGTCAAAAGTGGGAAAAGCACTGGAATCCAATTACATAAATGAAACTAGAGTTTACAAAAATACAGAAATAATCTGGATAATTCTTGTGTCTGACATTGTAACTTAGACTCCAACCAAGTGAAACAAATATTGATGTAAGTGGAAAGAGAACTACAGTATGACCTAGTATGAACCTAATAATTATGAAAGAACGTAAGAAGAAGTTGGATCATCCTGAATTCCAAAGGTCAACACTGGACTTAAGCAAAAGAACCTTGTGGTAAGTGGGATTAACACAGGAGTCTTACATTCTATAACCAATTTGGGAGATGCAAAGCAACATAGAGGTAATTGGAATCAAGTATGGATTCTGATGATCTTTCATGGAGTAGGTAGTAGGAAAAAGGACATAGAGGTAAGTGTATACAATAAACTCTGGTCTCTTATTATCTAGCATGGAATTTTGAAAAATAATAATAGAGGCAAACATGATAAATTCTGGAGCCCATTTACCTATAACAAACTTGGGATTTACAAGAGAATATAGAGGTAAATGCAATAATTCGAGAGTGTGAATTTAAAAGAACAAAGGAACATAGTGGCTAGAGGGATCAACCCTGGAGTCAAAAATAAAAAAAATCTATTGTCAAATTGGGAGAAGCAGAGTATCATAGAAGGATGTGTGATCAACTCTGGATGGGATGATCTATCTTGAACTAGGAAGAAGCAAAAGGATATGGAGGAAAGTTTAATACACTCTGGAACTGAAATATATTTCTGAGAAGCAAAGAAACAGAGATTAATGGAACAACCTCTGGAGTCTGATTTTCTAGAATTAACTTGGAATTCACATAAGAACACATATGTAAGTGTGATAATTTTAGAATATGACCTTCTAGCATGTGCTGAAAAAAGTACAAAAATGTTGAAGTTAGTGGAGTTGATACTATAGTCCAATAATTTACCATGGAATTTGGAGAAGCAAAACAACAAACAGGTATCTGTAATAAACTTTGGATAGCAATGGTTTATCTTGGACTATTGAAATTTAAAGGGCTATAAGGGTAGGTGGAATGAAATCTGTAGTACATATATCTAGCATAAATTTGTGATAAGCAAAGGAAAATAGAATGGAATACACATTGAAAATCAGTTACCTACAATAATGAATTTGTGATTTACAGGTGAACTAAAATATGTTAGTTAATTCTGAAATCTGAAGATCTACCATGACCTTAAATCAAACACAAATAATAATAGATGGGATAAATATTGGAGCCCAGATTCTAGAATGTACTTCAGATATACAAGAAAACAAAGAAGTAGTATAATTCAGGAGTCCACAGATCTACTGTAGAATTAAAAACAAACAAGGCAACACTGACATAATTGGACAAGCACTGGAGTCTGATGAACTAGAATGAATTTTTTATTTAGAAAAGAACATATAAATATGTTAAATCATTCTGGAATCCAAATATCTGCATTACAATTAAATGAAGCAAAGGAACATAGTGATAAGGGGGTTGACTCTGGATTCATATATTCCATCATCAATTTGGGAGACACAAAGCATCATAGAGGTATTGGGATCAAATACAGTTTTCAGTGATCTAGTATGACTCTGGAGAAGCAAAAGATATAGAGGTGAGTGGAATAAATTCTGCACTCTGATTATCTAGCATGGGCACTGCAGAAACAAAGAAACATAGATGTGTTATAAACTCCAGAGTCTGTTTACCTAAAATGAACTTAAGATTTCCAAAAGAACATGGAAGTAAATGGCTTAATTCTTGATTCTGATGTTCTGCTATGGATTTGAAACAAGGAGAAGAACATAGAGGAAACTGTAATTGACCCTGGACTCTGAACGTCTGCCATCAAATTGAGGGAAGCAAAACAACACAGTAGGATGTGTGATAAACTCTGGATCCAATGATCTATCTTGGACTAGGGGGATATAGAGGTAAGGGGATATAGAGGTAAATTTAATATCCTCTAGAATGGAAATGTTTTGCATGGACTTGGGAAAAAGCAATGGAACATAGAGATTAGTAAGATAAACTCTAGTCTGATTATAATGATTTTGGGATTTACAAAAGAGTGTGTGTGTGTGTGTGTGTGAGAGAGAGAGAGAGAGATACACACAGAGAGAGGGAGGGAAAGAAAGAGAGAGAGAAGGAGAGAGTGGGAGAGAGAGAGAGAGAGAGAGAGAACCTAAAATTTATTTGGGATTTTAAAAAGAGCATAGAAGTGATTGAGATAATTCTGGGCTATGACATTCCAGCATGGGCATAAAACAAGAAAAGGATTATAGAATAAAGTTCAATCATCTCTGGAGTACAATAATCTGCCATTAATTTGAGAGAAGGAAAGAAACACAGAGGTGTGTGTGTGATGAACTCTGGATTCCAATGATCTAGCATAGATTGGGAGAAGCAAAGTAATCTGGAGGTAAGTAGGATAAACTTGGGAGTCTTGATTATCTGGCTTGGTCTTGGGAGAAGAAAAAGAACATAGAGGTAAGTGGAATAAATTCTGGAGTTTGATTATCTAGCATGGAAATGGGAGTATCAAAGGAACATAGAGCTAAGTGGGCTAACTCTGGAATCTGAAGATCTAACAGATTTGTGCGAAGCAAAGGAACATAGAGGTAAGTGGGATATACTCCAAAGTTTGGTTATCTAAAATCAAATTGTGATTTGCAAAAGAAAATATAATTATTTGGGATAAACTCTGGAGTCCCATTATCTTTGAGGGACTTGCTACAGGCAAAGAAATATGAATAATCCTGGAGTCCAGTGATCTAGCATGGACTTGGGTGTAGCAAAGGAGATAGAGGTCAGTAGAATAAATCTGGGGTCTGATTATCTGGCATGCACAAAAGGGAAATGAGGGAACTTTTAGTTATATTGGAAAACCTCTTAAATCTGATTATCTAGCATGTACTTGCAAGTAGCACAGAAACATAGAGATAAATGGAATTAATTCTGGAGATATATCATCTAGGATGGACTTGAAAGAAGCAAAGGAACACAGATGTAGGTGAGTTAAACTCTAGAGTCTGATTGCCTAAAATGAACTTGCTATTTACAAAGAACATAGCTGTATGCAGAATAAAATTGGATTCTGATTATCTCTCATGGACTTGGGTGAAGCCAAGCAACATAGAGGTAAATTACTTCAACTCTGCAATCCAATTGTGTGGCATGCATTTGGGTGAAATTAAGGAACAGAGATTAATTGAGATATAGCATGGAGTATAATTTTCTAACATGCACTTGATTGAACCAAAGGAACATAGATTCAAGACATGAACTCTGGTGTCCAATAATCTATTGCTGACTTTGTAGAATCTAGCTACGTAGTAGTTAATGGGATAATTCTGGAGTCTGAAGATCTAGTATGGACTTGAAATAAGCAAAGGAACACAGAAGTAGGAAAAACTCTGGTGTCTACCATTGACTTTGGAGAATGTAGCCATACATAGAAACAAATAGGATGAACTTGGGGATTTGCTAACTCTGAAGGATTTTGTAGAAGAAAAGGGTATAAATGTAAGAGGATAAACTTCAGAGTCAATTGATGTAGCATGGACTGGAAAAATGGATATAGAGTTAAGTAGAGACAAATTAGCATGGACTTGAGAGAAAAAAAGGAACATACAGTTAATTGGAATGAACTCTGGAGTCTGATCATCTGCCACTGAGTTGGGACAAGTCACTCAGGTCAGTTAGACTCTCTGGACTTCAATTATATAGATTGGAATTGAGAGAAGCAAAGCAACATTTAGGCATATGGAATAAATTTTGGAGATCTACTATTTAGCACATACTTGGGAAAAGCAAAGAAATATTAAATTGGTTAATATATCAATGTGTAAATTGGTTAATTCTGGAGTAAGGTATCTAGTGTGAACCTGGAAGAAGCAAAGCAGCATTGTGGTGAATGAGATAAATTTTGGAGTCTGAATGTCTAGCATGGACTTTGGAGAAGCATAGAATATAGGCATAAGCAGCACATTTTTTTTTATTTATTTGACAGGTAGAGTTACAGACAGTGAGAGAGAGAGAGAGAGACAGAGAGAAAGGTCTTCCTTCTGTTGGTTCACTCCCCAAATGGCCGCCAAGGCCGGCGCTGTGCCAGTCTGAAGCCAGGATCCATGTGCTTCTTCCTGGTCTCCCATTCAGGTGCAGAGCCCCAAGCACTTGGGCCATCCTCCACTGCCATCCCGGGCATCGCAGAGAACTGGACTGGAAGAGGAGCAGCTGGGACTAGAACCCGGTGCCCATATGGGATGCTGATGCCACAGGCTGAGGATTAGCCTAGTGAGCCATGGCGCCGGCCCTGCAACACATATTTTTGGATCTGACTATCTAGCATAGACTTGGGAGGAGCAAAGAGGTAAGTGGGGTACACTCTTGAGTCCAGTTATCTATCATGTACTTGGTTCAACCAAGGGAACATAAAGGTAAATCAGATACAAAGGTAAATAATTTTGGAGTCTGAATTTTAATCATGGAGTTGAAAAATCAAAGGAACATAGAGGTATGTGGGATAAACTCCAAGTTCATATATGAAGCATGCCATTGGGAAAAGCAAAGGAACATGGAGGTAAGTGTGATAAAATCCAAAGTCAGTTAATCTAATGATGACTTGGAGAAGCAAGGGAATGTAGAGGTAAGTTGGATAAACACTAGAGTCTAATTTTCTAGCATGGTCTTGGTACAAGCAAAAGAATATGAAGGTAAATGCGAATATCCCTGGGGTCTGATGAACTAGCAAGTGTATATCAAAGGATGTAGAGATTACTGGGATAAACTTGGGGCCTGATTATCTGCTTACACAGAGGAGAAACAAAGGAACTTCAGATATATTAGAAAACATCCTAAGTCTGATTATCTAGCATGTACTTGCAAGTAGCAATGGAATATAGAGGTGAGTGGAATAGCCTATGGAGTCTGATATTCCAGCATGGGCTTGAGAAAAAGCAAAGGGACACAGATGTAAGTTTCTGCAGACTTATCATCTAGCACTGACTTATGACAAACAAGGGAGCATAGAAGCAAATTGTATAAACTCTGAAATCTGATAGTTGAAAATGGAATTGGGAGAAGGAAGGAAACCTAGAAGCAAGTTAAACAAACTCTGAGGACTATTTCTGTCATGAACTTTAGAGAAATAAAGCAACATAGAGGTGAGTTGGTTAAACTCTAGTGTCAAATTGTCTAGCATGGACTTGAGTGAAGCAAACAAACATAGAAATAAGTTGGATAAACATTAGAGTCTTAATATCTAATATCAACTTTGGAGAAGCATGGAACATAGAGGTAGGTGATATACACTCTGAAATCCAGTTATCTGTAATGTGATTATCATGGATATGTGAAAGCAAAATAATTTAAAGATAAGTGTGATAAACCCTGGAGTTCATGATCCAACATGGCTTTGGGTGAAGCAAAGAACATAGAGGTCAGCCTTGGATAAATCCTGAAAACTAATTATCTAGCATGGATTTGGGAGAAGTAAAGGAATATAGAAGTAAGTGCTACAAGGTCTGAGGTCTGATTATCTAGCATTAAATTTGTTAAGCAAAAAAGCATAGAAGTAATTAGGATAAACGTTGGAATCCAGTTTTCTCATGGATTAGGAGAAGCAAGGTAACATAAAGAGAAACTGTATATACTCTAGAGTCTGATTGAATCGAATGGACTTGGGAACAGCAAAGGAATATAGAGACAAATGGGATAAATCCTGTAGTCCAATACCTAGCATGGACTTGGGAGTAGGAAGTAAAATACTGTAGAGGTAAGTGGTATAAACTCTAGATTCCAATGATCTAGACTGGTGTTGGCAAATTATCTTTTTTTCCAGGTGTCTTATTTTCCTAATTTTCTTTTTTTTAACTTTTATTTAATGAATATAAATTTCCAAAGTACAGAATATTGATTACAATGGCTTCCCCCCCATAACGTCCCTCCCACCCGCAACCCTCCCCTTATCCACTCCCTCTCCCCTTCCATTCATATCAAGATTCATTTTCGATTCTCTTTATATACAGAAGATCAGTTTAGCATACATTAAGTAAAGATTTCAACAGTTTGCTCCCACACAGAAACATAAAGTGAAAAATACTGTTGAGTACTAGTATAGAATAATCTCATGTACAGCACACTAGACAAAGATCCTACATGAGAAGTAGTGCACAGTGACTCTGTTGTTGACTTAACAAAATTGACACTCTGTTTATGGCATCAGTAATCACCCTAGGCTCTTGTCATGAGCTGCCAAGGCTATGGAAGCCCTCTGAGTTCACTGACTCTGATCATTTTTAGACAAGGCCATGGTCAAAGTGGAAGTTCTCTCCTCCCTTCAGAGAAAGGTACCTCCTTATTTTTCAAAATGGGATAAGTGACAGTATTGCAGGGGGTGAGTAGGAGGGATTTCAAGATTGATCAAGGAAAAGTTGTGATCACAAGATGGAAGAAGTATGCACAATCATTCTTCTTGTTCCATGTTATTTTATAATCTATAAGCTTGTTATTTATTTTAAAAACTTTTATTTAAGGTATACAAATTTCATGTAATTCCTATATACAGATTGAGGGACAGTGATACTTCCAAACATACTCTCCTTCCCGTCCTCACTCCCACCTTTCTTCCTCCTCCCTCTCCTATTTCCATTCTTAATTTTAGAAAGATCTATTTTCAGTAAACTTTGCACTCAGATTAACCCTACACTAAGTAAAGACTTCAACAAATAGTATGAAGGAAGAAACACTATTCCTCAACAGTTGAGACAGGGGCTGTAAGCAATTATTGTAAAATGTCGATTTTACTCCTATAGATTATCTCTTAGGTACTCTATTAGTTACCACAGATAGGGGAAAGTGTATGGTCTTTGGGACTGGCTTATTTCACTATGTATAATGGTTTCCAGCTGTTTCCATTTTGTTGCAAATAACAAGATTTCATTCTTTTTACCATTGTGTAGTATTCCATCATGTATATATAACAAATTTCTTTATCTAGTCTGTAGTTGATGGATATCTGGGTTGATTCCGTATCTTAGCTATTGTGAATTGTGCTACAATAAACATGGGGGTACAGATAACTCTTTCATATGCTGATTTCTTTGGGTTTGGGTAAATACACCAGGAGTGGGCGGCTGGATCCTATGGTAGGTCTATATTGAGATTTCTGAGGTATCTCCATACTGTATTCCACAATAGCTGTACTAGTTTACATTCCCACCAACAGCAGATTAGAGTACCTTTTCCTCCACATCCTCGCAAATATTTGTTGTTTGTTGATTTCTGTATGAGAGCCATTTTAATGGGGATGAGATGAAACCTCATTGTGGTTTTGATTTGCATTTCCCTGATGGTTAGTGATCCTGGGCATTTTTTCATGTACCTTTTGGCCATTTGAATTTTCTGTGAAAAGTGCCTGTTCAAGTTCTTTGTCCATTTCTTAACTGGATTGTTTGGTTTGTTGTTGAATTCCTTGAGCTCTTTATATATTGTGGATATCAATTCTTTATAAGTTTCACAGTTTGCAAATATCTTCTCCCATTCTGTTGGTTGCCTCTTCACATTGCTGTGTTCCCTTCACAGTGCAGAAACTTCTCAGCTTGGTGTTATCTCATTTGTCAATTTTGGCTTTGATTGCTGGTGCTTCTGGGGTCTTTTCCAAGAAGTCTTTGCCTATGCCAATATCTTGCAGAGTTTCACCAAAGTTCATCGATTTATGTCTTTGATTCTTTTTGAGTAGATTTTTGTGTATGGTGTGAGGTAGAGGTCTTGTTTCATACTTATGCATGTGGAGATCCAGTTTTCCCGGCACCATTTGTTGAAAAGACTGTCTTGCTCCAGGGATTGATTTTAGCTCCTTTGTCAAAGGTAAGTTAGTTGTAGATGTGTGGATTAATTTCTGGAGCTTCTATTCTGTTCCATTGGTCTACATATCTATTTTTTTTCTACCAATAAAAGGCTATTTTGATTATAAATTCCCTGGAGTATATCTTAAGATCTAGTAATGTGGTGCGTCTGGCTTTGTTTCTGTTGTATATGATTGCTTTAGCTACTCAGTGTTGTGTTTTCATATGAATTTTAACATCATTTTTTTTTTTTTTTGACAGGCAGAGTGGACAGTGAGAGAGAGAGACAGAGAGAAAGGTCTTCCTTTGCCATTGGTTCACCCTCCAATGGCCGCCGCGGCCAGCGCGCTGCGGCCGGCGCACCGCGCTGATCCGATGGCAGGAGCCAGGAGCCAGGTGCTTTTCCTGGTCTCCCATGGGGTGCAGGGCCCAAGCACCTGGGCCATCCTCCACTGCACTCCCTGGCCACAGCAGAGGGCTGGCCTGGAAGAGGGGCAACCGGGACAGAATCCGGAGCCCCGACCGGGACTAGAACCTGGTGTGCCGGCGCCGCTAGGCGGAGGATTAGCCTAGTGAGCCGCGGCGCCGGCCAAATTTTAACATCATTTTTTTTCTATATCTGAGAAGAATGTCATTGGTATTTTGACTGGGATTGAATTGAATCTGTAAATTGCCCTAGGTAGTATGGACATTTGATGATATTAATTCTTTCAATCCATGAACATAGATTTTTTTTTTCTCCTACACTTCTTTATTTAATGTTTTGTAATTTTCATTGTAGAGATCTTTGACATCCTTAGTTAAATTTATTCCAAGATATTTAATTTTTTTCTCTAGCTGTTGTGAATGGGATTGACCTTAGAAATTCTTTCTCAGACATGTGATTGACAGCATACAAAGGGTATTGAATTTTGTATGTTAATTTTATATCCTGCCATTTTATCAAACTCCTTTGTGAGTTCCAATAGTCTTTCAGTGGAGTCTTTTGGTTCCCCTATATATAGAATCACATCTTCTGCAAACAGGGATAGTTTGACTTCCTCCATTCCAATTTCTATACTTCTGATTTCTTTTTCTTGCCTAATGGCTCTGGCTAAAACTTCCAGGACTATATTGAATAGTAGTGGTGAGAGTGGGCGTCCTCGTCTGGTTCTGGATGTTAGTGTGGAGGCTTCCAACATTTTCTCCATTCAATAAGATGCTGGCTGTGTGCTTGCCATAAATTGCTTTAATTGTGTTGAGGAATGTTCCTTCTATACCCAATTTGCTTAAGGTTTTCATCATGAAAGGATGCTGTATTCTATCAAATGCTTTCCCTGTATCTATTGAGATAATCATATCATTTTTATTCTTCAATTTGCTAATGTGATGTACCAGAGTTAATGATTTGTGTATGTTAAACCATCCCTGCATACCAAGGATAAATCCCACTTAGTCTGGGTGAATGATCTTTCTATATATTGTTGGAATCCCTTTTCTTGTATTTTGTTGAGGATTTTTGTGTCTATATTCATCAGGGATATAGGTCTTTAGTTCTCTTTTTCTGTTGTTTCTTTTTCTGGTTTAGGAATTAAGGTGCTGCTGGCTTCCTGAAAGGAATTTGGGAGGATTCTCTCCCTTTCAATGTTTGGAAAATCTTGAGAAGAATTAGAATTACTTCTTTAAATGTCTGGTAGAATTCAGCAATGAAGCCATTCAGTCCAGGGCTTTTCTTTATTGTGAGGGTCTTTATTACTGATTCAGTCTCTGTCTTGGTTATTGGTCTGTTTAGGTTTTCTGTGTCTTCATGGATCTATTTTTATAGATTGTTCCCATTTCTTCTTGGTTTTCCAATTTGTTGGCATACAACTCTTTGTAATAATTCCTTATTACTCTTTTTATTTCTGTGATATCCTTAGTTGCATCTCCTTTTTCATATCTGATTTTATTGATTTAGATCTTCTCCATCTTGTTTTTTTTTGGGATAGTTGGGCCAATGGTGTGTCAATTTTGTTAATTTTTTTTTCAAAAATCCAGCTCTTTTTACTGATCTTTAATATTTTTTGTTTCAATTTTATTTACTTGTTCTCTAGTTTTAATTATTTCTTTCTTCCAACTAATTTGGGGTTTGGTTTGTTGTTGTTTTCCTAGGTAATTGAGATAACATTGATAGCTCTCTTACTTGGTGCCTTCCAATTTCTTGATGTAGGAACCAATTGCTATGAACTTCCCTCTTCACACTGCTTTTACTGTATTCCATAAGTATGTTTGGTATGTGGTAATGTCATCTTCATTCATTTCCAGAAACTTTTTTTGCTTTCAATTTCTTCTGTGACACA